GGAATGGTTGGGAGAGTCATTTTCCCACATGAATTGGCATGTGATGTTATTTCTTTCACACTTTCAGTGAGTTTAAGGTCTGGACTCAGAGGGGGCAATTCATAAATGTTTCTTCATGCTCTTCCCATCCGTTCCTTCACAATCCGAGCCTGATGAATCTTGACATTGTCATCCTGAAATATGGACAAGTGTCTTCCTACATGGGTGTTTAAGAAATAAAAAGTGACACACTCCATCAAGTTGGGTTAAAAGAACTGTTGCCAAACATATAACATGCATGAAACATAATAAACAATGCAATAATGATCCAATCATAGGCCTATTTAAATCCAAACAGCAACTTTGTTTTGGCTGGGCAGTGTACATTATCTCATTATTGCACGGTAGCTCAACAAAAGAAAATTAATATGTGGACATGAAAGATTCATTTGAATATTAAGCTGAAGTCGTTTTAGAATTTTACCAGTTTAATAAGCCCTATCTTACAGTTAAAATTGTCCATTACAATGTGCAAAACAATTAGCCTAATTCTGACAACAGCAAAAAAAGACTTAAAGTCGGTATGAAATAAAGGTTGTGATTGTTTTTTCTAACGATTATGCGAATAGAATGACTTCTTGAACAAGAAAAAATGTGGGCGGGGCTTGATTTTGTCCGTGGGGAATTGATTGGATGGTTGTGGTTTGCTATTGGTGGATTTCATGTGAGTGACAGGTTTCCCCGTCCTCATCATCAGAGAAGAGAATCTGCAAGAGGGAGAGGAAGTTATTCTGATTCAAGAAATAATGTGCACTGAAGTCATTTATAATAAATACTGCAATATTCCATAAAATAAAAAAATTGTCCATTTTGATGTCATGGTGACTTTAAAAATACACTCTTAGAAGAAATGGTTCTATTTAGAACCAGAAATGGTTCCATCCCTTGCTTCATATATGGAACTCCAAAATGGTTCTATATAGAACCATTTTTTTTGGTAAAAGGTTCTATTGGCCAAGTATGGAACCCCAGGGTTCTATATAGAACCCAGAGGAACCCTTTTTTTAAGATTGTATAGAACATTTTAGGGGTTCCAAATGCGTAGCGCTGATAGAACCTTTTAAGGTTCTAGATAGAACCTTTTCTTCTAAGAGTGTAAGGTGGTTAAAAGACAGTCGTTTTTCTTCTCTTAATGCAGGTTGTTCATCCGTCCAATCATGCGACCATCCAGAGTATAGTGCGAGCCGTGGGGATCGTGCCTGGCGTCCCGGAGCCGTGCTGCGTTCCCGACACCATGAGCTCTCTGGCTGTGCTGTTCCTGGACTCCAGCAGGAACATGCTAGTGAAGGTCTATCCCAGCATGTCTGTGGAGACCTGTGCCTGTCGGTAAGGAGAGCAAGCTCAATAATGGACATATAGATAAATACAACCTGCAAAACAATGAACTCAGCTCAAGGGACTGCCGAAAATGAACTTTATATCTCTGCAAATAAGACCTCGACACCTCCAATAATATTGGATCTTTGCACACAAACATTGTATCCTCTTTCCACTCTCATTTTTTCTACCGAATTGTATATAATCCTTATTGTAACATATAGTAAGCCAAGCTGTTTTTGTTTTGAGTCAAGCACAAAGCAAATTTAAAAGAAACTAGTGATTTAAACCCTCTAAAAAATACCGGGGTTGTTTCAACCCAAATTTGGGTCAAATATGGACAAACCCAAATGTTGGGTTAAAAGGTCTTTAAAGTTGGGTTAAAAATGTTTTAAGTTGGGTTAACATTTGAAATGATATTTTTAACCCAACATTTGGGTTTGTCCATATTTGACCCAAATTTGGGTTGAAACAACCCAGCGGTTTTTAGAGTGCACTTTATTTTAAGGATGACGTAGTTACACGTTACTACATGCATTTACCGTAGTAAAAACTGTCAATTATGCAATTACAAGTAACTAACCCTAAACCAAACCCTAACTGTAACTCTATAGGAAGTACATGTATTTAATTAATATTACTCATTACTTATTTAAGTAAGTCACCTTAAAATAAAGTGTAACCAAATCCGGTGACTTTACATAAGGTCTCATTTTTTAACATTATTTTTTTAATATGAGCAATATATTTTTACAGCATTTGTTAATAAAATGGTTTATGTTATTCAATAATTAAGGTTTTATTTAAACACTCTAAACAATGCTGCGTTGTTTGAACCCAAGTTTGGGTCAAATATGGACAAACCCAAATGTTGGGTTAAAAATGTCATTTAAAATTTTAACCCAACTTCAACTTTCACTTTCACATTTTTAACCCAACATTTGGGTTTGTCCATATTTGACCCAAATTTGGGTTCAAACAACCCAGCATTTTTTAGAGTGAACAAATCTATTAATAAATGTTTTATTTTACCATTGATTATGAAATGCTGTAGAAGTATTGTTCATTTTCAGTTCCAGTTAACTAATGTTAACAAATGAAATCATATTGTAAAGTGTTGCTATAAATCCTTATAAGCGTTTGATTTGATTTGTAAGCTTGTTAGATAAAGTGTAACCTATAGGATCTAAACACCTGGGCCCGGTTTTTCAAAAGTAATCCACTAGGATTTTGGATAATGGATTGGATCAAATCTTGGAAAATGGGTTTTCTAAAAGAAAAAAAATGGATCACGTAATCCAATCTTGGTTTTGATCCGGACCAAACCTTTAGTTTGGGTTTTTCAGAACTTTTTTGTAGGATTTGGATCACTTTGATCCCAAAAATCTGGATTAAACTGATCCCATCAGAAGGGTGGATTCTGCGTGGATTTCATGCCCAAAATGTAATGAAAACTTAAAAATGTATCAAATAATCCTATATTTGGATCATGCAGTATCTTACAAGATATCCTATTTATTCATAAGTTTTTAATTTTATTTGTTAATCCGTCAGGCTACACTACAGTGATTAGGTAGGCTTTAAAGGAGTAGTTTTAAAAGAAAAACTTTTGCTGATAATTTACTCACCCCCATGTCATCCAAGATGTCCACGTCTTTCTTTCTTCAGTCAAAAAGAAATTAAGGTTTTTGATGAAAACATTCCAGGATTTTTCTCCATATAATGGACTTCAATGGGGTCCAAATGGTTCAAGGTCCAAAAGACAGTTTCAGTGCAAACTACAAACTGTTTAAAGGGCTTTAAACGATTCCAGATCATGAATAAGGGTCTTATCAAGCGAAACGATCGCTCATCACTCAAAAAAAAAAAAAGTTTCAATTTTATAGGCTCAAATGCTCGCCTTGCTCTGCTCTGTGACGCACGTTCGTGACTCTCCTGTTCAAACTCGTTCATCAAAATGAACGAATCTTTTTCCGAGTCAATTTGTTCGTTTCGTTCGTTGAATGAACCAAATGACTCGGAAAAAGATTAGTTCGTTTTGATGAACGAGTTCGAACAGGAGAGTCATGAACGCGCGTCACAGAACAGAGCAAGGCGAGCATTTGAGCTTAAAAAACTTAAACTTTGTTATTTATTTATTAAATAAACGATCGTTTCGCTTGATAAGACCCTTATTCATCGTCTGGAATCGTTTAAAGCCCTTTGAACAGTTTGTAGTTTGCACTGAAACTGTCTTTTGGACCTTGAACCGTTTGGTTCCCATTGAAGTCCATTAAATAGAGAAAAATCTGGAATGTTTTCATCAAAAACCTTAATTTCTTTTCGACTGAAGAAAGAAAGACATGGACATCTTGGATGACATGGGGGTGAGTAAATTATCAGCAAAAGTTTTTTTAAAGTGAACTACTCCTTTAACGTATTCAGCCTTTCAGTATAGGCCTACAGCAAAGTAGAAAGAGTTTGGCCTCATAAAATAATCCCTGTCAAAATTGACCACTTAATTGATATATATATTCATCACAATCGAAAATATTTTTGTTTTTAGAATATTTATTAGTGATGCATGCAATGATTACAGAATAACCCCCCAAAAAATGCAAAAAATGGCAATCAAAGATTTTTGAAATCCAAAATAAATCCAAATCAGAAATAATGTCTAACTATTGCATCCCTTGTTGCACGTCCAGTTTGCTCCAGTTTGGTGATCCTGAAAAGTTCCTATACGGATCAGATTGATCCAATCCGATGTTGCTTTGAAAAACTGTCTCAAAAGTAAGCTGGATTACGTGATCATGGATCGCAAAAAAAAAAAAAAAAGAATTACTAAATCCAGATCAATTTTATCCGGATTAAACCTTTTGAAAAACCAGGCCCCGGATCTTGCATGAAAAGAAAACTGCGGATCATTTTTGGTCGTTTGTGAGGAAAAAATGCAGTGTAATGCTGCCATCTAGCGCTTTTGTGATTTGGCATAATATTATTTTCCCCCTATAAGTTAGAACAGATGGATTGATTAGCCATAGCTTTAGAAAAGTCATAAGATTATGGATTTTAAAATAAAATAATAACGTCTCATAGGTTTTGTGAAACTTTATCAAAGGAGAGTTTTGTATTTTTATAGCAAGCAATATCATGTCATTTATAATTATTTATTTTTTTCTTCAAACTGTACTGTATTGACTTTTTATGCCGACATTTCTTAAACCAGGCTCTTCTGGTGTATAAGCTGGTATGTTTTTGTTTTGTGAATAAAGACCTAATGAGTTGTATTAGGAACATAGATTGTTTGCAACAAAGGGTCAAAGGTCAACGCTGACCCATTAACCCTTACACGGCTGAATGAAAATGAATCCAAATGAAAGGAATCTATAATGTTAATATTTATCATAGCCGAAGCTGATTAGCCGAAGCATCTCGCATGTGCAGACACAAACACATTCAGAAGTCTGACCCTGTAAATAAGGGTTTGTCCAAATCACTCTCATTAGTTTCCAAAGTGTTTACAGAACCCTCATTAACTACAAGCTTCCTCCAGATAACAAAGCTCAAACCACGACTTTGGTGTCAAAGATAAGATTAGCTATGCTGCTATTTTGGTTTGTGCTTAGCGTGGGACGTGGGAGTGAACCTGAGGTTCGCTTGAGGAACCCCGATTTCAAAGGATCTTCCACAAACCAAAGTCAGATGTAAAACTTGCCTATCCGCTTTGGGAACCAAACGAAAGATGCGGGGTTTACGATATCTGCTTCTTCTGATGTCCATCAATTTTGCTGCTTCAGTTCAGGGGAAATCTTTAGGGAGTCTGGAAGACACGATGTTCATTCGGGGAGAAGAGCAAAACCTTGAGGGAGAAGATGACTTCAAGTTGGAGAGCTTTCTGGGCTTCAGGAAGGAAGACTTTCTGAGGAAGCTGAATTTATCAGGCGTGCCGCACGAACACAGAAAGGTTCAACCTCCTCAGTTCATGATGGATCTCTATAATAAATACGCATCTGATAAGACTTCCATCCCTCGGTCGGATGTCATCCGAAGCTTCATCATACAGGGTGAGTATCTCTGAGGTAGATGCAACACCACTTGTATATGAATGAATTAAAGGAGTAGTTCACTTTTTTTTAAAATAAACTTTTGCTGATAATTTACTCACCCCCATGTCATCCAAGATGTCCATGTCTTTCTTTCTTCAGTCGAAAACAAATTAAGGTTTTTGATGAAAACATTCCAGGATTTTTCTCCATATAATGGACTTCAATGGGGTCCAAACGGTTCAATGTCCAAATGAGAGTTTCAGTGCAAACTGTTGCGCGTTCATGACTCTCCTGTTCGAACTCGTTTATCAAAATGAACGAATCTTTTTCCGAGTCAACTCGTTCATTTTCTTCATTGAATGAATCAAATGCCACGAATAAAGATTTGTTCATTTTGATGAACGAGTTCGAACAGGAGAGTCACGAACGCGCATCACAGAACAGAGCAAGGCGAGCATTTGAGCTTATAAAACTTTGAAAGTGTCTTTTGGACTTTGAACCGTTTGGTTCCCATTGAAGTCCATTATATGGAGAAAAAATCCTGGAATGTTTTCATGAAAAAAACCTTAATTTCTTTTCAACTAAAGAAAGAATGACATGGGGGAGAGTAAATTATCAGCAAAAGTTTTTTTTTTTAAATGTGAAGTAGTTCTTTAAGGTTTTTGATGGAAACATTCCAGGATTTTTTCTCCATATAATGGACTTCAATGGGGTCCAAACGGTTCAAGGAACAAATGAGAGTTTCAGTGCAAACTGTTGCGCGTTCGTGACTCTCCTGTTCGAACTCGTTTATCAAAATGAACGAATCTTTTTTCGAGTCAACTCGTTCATTTTCTTCATTGAATGAACCAAATGACACGAAAAAAGATTCGTTCATTTTGATGAACTAGTTCGAACAGGAGAGTCACGAACGCGCATCACAGAACAGAGCAAGGCGAGCATTTAAAGCTTATAAAACTTTGATTTTTTTTTTTTAAATGAGCGATCGTTTCGCTTGATAAGATCCTTATTCATTGCCTGGTGTCGTTTAAAGCCCTTTGAATAGTTTGCAGTTTGCACTGAAAGTGTCTTTTGGACTTTGAACCGTTTGGTTCCCATTGAAGTCCATTATATGGAGAAAAAATCCTGGAATGTTTTCATCAAAAACCTTAATTTCTTTTCAACTGAAGAAAGAATGACATGGACATCTTGGATGACATGGGGGTGAGTAAATTATCAGCAAAAGTTTTTTTTTAAATGTGAACTAGTCCTTTAAGGTTTTTGATGGAAACATTCCAGGACTTTCTCCATATAATGAACTTCAATGGGGTCCAAATGAGCAGCTTTAAAGGGCTTTAAACGACTCCAGGTAATGAATACGGGTCTTATCTAGCGAAACGACCGGTCATTCAATGAACGAAACGACTCAAAAAAAGATTCGTTCATTTTGATGAACGAGTTCGAACAGAAGAGTCACGAACACGCATCACAGAACAGAGCAAGGCGAGCATTTGTGCTACCTTATTTTTGAAATGATGGATCGTTTCGCTAGATAAGACCCTTATTCATTGCCTGGTGTCGTTTAAAGCCCTTTGAAGCTGCACTGAAACTCTCATTTGGTCCTTGAACCGTTTGGACCCCATTGAAGTCCATTATATTTATATTTTCATCAAAAACCTTAATTTCTTTTCGACTGAAGAAAGAAAGACATGGACATCTTGGATGACATGGGGGTGAGTAAATTATCAGCAAAAGTTAGTTTTTTAAGTGACCTACTCCTTTAATCTCTATTTTCTGTTCTTTACAGATGTTATTTATTCCATCCGACACGGCAACAAAACTCGACACAGGCTCCTATATAACGTTTCAATCCCGAATCACGAACAGATCACATCAGTCCAGCTACGGCTGTTCACTCTCTGGGAAAGAAGTAAACGCACCTGCGTTGACCAATTCACATCCATTCATGTTTATGGCGTAGAATACAAGCAGGATACAAACATTTTACATCTTCTGGATGGGAGAGACGTCACTGAGGCCAGAAACACGTGGGAGGCTTTCGACGTGACCAGCGCCGTCAGGATTTGGCAGGATTCTGGACGCGGGGCGGGTGAACTCCAGGTGGAAATCCAACAGAGCTGTCAATCTCTTGACATAAGCACGGCTTTAGAGGACAACGGCTCGGCGGTCATAATAGTTTTTTCGGATGATCTCGGGAACAGAAAGGGAGAGTCGATGAGTGAGGTCAAAGAGATGCTTCTTCACGAGAAGGAGCGGATATTTGTGGAAAATCACGTTCCTGTGGACAAGCACCTCAGGAGAAAGAGGAAAGCAAAGAACAATTACTGTCGGAGAACTTCGCTGAAGGTGAACTTCAAAGACATCGGGTGGGATAAATGGATCGTGGCTCCGTCTGAATATGACGCTTATGAGTGCAAAGGGGTGTGTTATTTCCCCCTGACGGATGACGTAAGCCCCTCCAAACACGCCATCATCCAAACTCTGGTTAACCTGAGCAATCCCAAAAAGGCAAACATGGCATGTTGCGTCCCAACCAAGCTGGACCCAATCGCCGTCATGTACCAAGAAAGGGGTGTCATCACGGTCCGACACCTGTACGAGGAGATGAAAGTAGCAAAGTGTGGATGTAGGTAGTGTTCGGCTGCTCGCCCATTCGTTTTGGGCTCCCCAAAGGACATTTCAATAACCTTAAGAACCTGTTAAAGGTTCTTCATGGAACCATAAATGCCAATAAAGAACTGTAGCATAATTAAAAAGTACTTTTAATATAAAAGAGCTTCTTGAGTTTAAAGTCAGCTTCCATTATAAAGTCGATGTCACTTATATTTGCAAAAGGAAAAAAAGTATTGAGCAAAAAAATAAAGAATTGATGAAGAAAAATGAAATATTGAGAGAGAAAGAATACGTTTTGCTAACAAAAATAAAGATACAATTAATTGCAAAAATCAATAACAGCTGTAATCAATTCCCCTGTAGTCGATTATTTTATCCCTTAAAACTCAAAATGACGTATTTAATAGTTTTTTTCCGTGAAACACATTTATTCATGTCTAAAAATAGCTTGAATGTAATTCGACACCCTCGCCTCATTTAGTATACGTGGTTCTATGAACATGCAAATGAGCCCCGCCTCCACTCACTCTCTCACTCAGCTCAGAGATCCATTGGTTGGCGATCACACGTTGATCTGATTGGTTACAAGGTAGTTTGTGACGTCAGAAACACCAGCGATTTCAAATCACGTTTAATGATGACTTTATGATGAATTTGCACATGGTTTGTCTTAAAGCATATTAAAACACCACACGGACTTATAAACAATATTAAAAGCTGGATTTTCACCACGGGGGACTTTAAGAACTGGTTTTTACTTGTGTAGAAAGTAGCCTCAAAAACTAATAATAAACTCCAATTTAACTGATTGCTGCAAAAAATAAAATAGGATCAAAGTTCTTTATTTTATTACAATTCTTTATTTTTGTTTTTTTTTTCCTCTCAATACTTTTTCATTTGCAATTATTTATTTTTGAATGCAAACCAACTTTATTTCTCCCAATACTTTATTTTTCTTTTGCAATTCTTTATTTTTGAATGCAAAACAACTTTTTTGCATTTGCTCAATACTTTAACTTTCTTTTGCAGTGCTTTATTCTTTTGCAAACAAATGTGGCATTATATTGACTCCATAATTCTGTTTTCATTTCACTTACGTCAACTAGCTGAGGACATACCCAGGGGCGTTTCTAGGATTTGGCAGCATAGATCAAAACATCAGGGGCGATATTCCCCCTTAGAGATTTTTGTTTTACATTTTAATACAGCAACACACTCTGCAAAAACAGATGTCAATGCTAGCCCTGTGCACTGCAAGCATGCGGTCCAGTTGTACATACTAGGAAGAAACCTCAAGGTGGCGATAGAGTAACACCCACAAATGATGGCAGAAGCTGTAAACATGTTTGTAAGATCTACTCTGCTCACAACTGATATATGACAGTGCTCTCAGTGTGACGTGTACATGCACGTACTTTGTGTTTGTTTCAGCTCTTCAAAGCATTTTAAAACTATACCTAGTTCTTTAGTAATGAATTTAAAAAAGTAGGCTTTATGGATGGGGCATAATGAGAATTTAGCACAGCAAAATCCCCAGTGTTAAATGAACACTGAGAAGTGTGAATTATATAAAAAATTTTGAGCAGAGTGTTAAATGAACACTGAAGCAGTGTTAAAGTTAAGTAGATAATTAAGTGAATAATTGAGTGATGATTGAGCATTATTAAAGACGCTTTATGTTAACAAGCAGAATCGCTGAGAGAGAAAATTTTAAGTCACCATTATGGTGATCAGTGTTTCCTTTAGTTGGGCTCTTGATCCTCAAGTCTTTAACTTTTGATTTTGTTTGGCTGCAGTACATGAGTTATAACAGCCAAACTGTTTATCTATTGAATTTAGCTTTTCTATTTGTTCATCTGGCTGTTATAAGTCACATACAGCAGCCAAACAAAATCTAAAGTTGACACTGATCACCATAATGGTGACTTAAAACGGTTATCTCCTTCAGAGATTGCTCTGCTTGTCTTTAATAATGCTCAATCATCACTTAATCATTCACTTAATTATCTAATTAACTATAACACTGCTTCAGTGTTGCTTTAACACTCTGCTCAGAGTTTATATAATTCACACTTCTTAGTGTTAATTTAACACTGGGAATTTTGCTGTGTATAGGGCCAATGCCCCTGTGGCCCTGCTTCAAGATTGACCTATTCAGGGTAGTTCCAGACAAAAATGATCAGGGAAATGCTCATATACAACAAACAAAACTTACGCAATACCTCCCTCTAGAGCTACGGAATGAAACATTCAGGGCGCTATTGACGCTTGTGGATATAACTTAAAATTGTATTCTTTCTTCCTGTTATATAACCGGATCTAATTATTTTTCTCTTTTTTTCATTAATTTTATTATTTTTCTCCCCCCACAAAAAGATTTGTATATAATCCATTGTATGTCCAGCATATATATATATATTTACATACAAAATATTTTGTTTTACAATGATGTAATTTGATTCACATTTTATCAATAAAGTCCAATAATTATTTGATTGCAAGAAATCATGCATAGAAGTAATTCCAGTTTGGGCTTTTCCTAATACATTTTTAGCATTGTGGAGTGTGTTGAGCGCTTTCTTTCTGCTGCTGGTGGAGCTTTCAGTCAGGTAAGCAATTGGTTATAACTGGTACATTGTTTTGTAATAGTAACATTCATTAGATCTTAACAATTACTAGTCGCATGACCCTCAAATGATAAACAAAATAATGGAATTTTATAAAGGCACAAACTTCATAGGATTTGCATGGTTCTGGTGATATATATAATGTTTCTATCTCCAGCTCAGAAACATTTTCTCTCTTCAGATACACTAGTCATCTTAAAATGAGATTCCCAATCTCTGATTGGCCACATGGAATCATCAGATAGAATTGCATAAGACTGAGCATTAAAAGATAAAGCAAGATTAACAGTGCAGCACCAATTAGTGTTGAGTGAATGTGGGGTTACATAATTTCATCCTGTAAAAGTGGCAAGGGCCTCTAAATTCACACTAATGCTCTAATATTTAGACAAATGAAAAGAATGAAGCGGGGAAATCTATAAGAAGATTAAAAAACAATAACTATTCAGTAACTTACAGTTAATAAATGAGCCTCTTTTAGAAAAAGTGTAATGCTCTGATGTTATACAATCAAAGCCATTGTCTAAATTGCCTGGTAAGAAAGATATGTTATGGTTTGTTGCATATACAAATGCATTTCTATCCTGGTGTTTATTTGACAGTCACCTGTTCGGCAGTGTAATCACATCATTAGCCTGACCCAGACTTCCCCTTTGAAAGCTTGACCTTATTTCCCTCATGACGACAGGGCTGACAGGACAATAATCCAAAAGCAAATGTGTAAAGAGACACATTTACAGGAAAATAATTCCCCAAATTTCACTCCAATTGTATTGTTCTTAATGCTTAAAATAGTTCCAGGACCCCAAAAACATTGAGATTAATTCACACTGAGATGATTTCACTTTAATTTACATTACTTACACTTATACTTGAAAGTACTGGGTATTATAAGGTAACAACATGGGTATAGGTTAGGTAAATTTATTGCATTTATTGTACATTATGTACATGGGGAACAGGACTGTATAATAAAGTGCTGATTAAGACACAAAAATGACAGATGAACCAATAAGTACACAGTACTTAAACATTTTGCCTTCCATAATATGATTTACATACGATGATTTACATTTACTCTCGTCATTCCAAACCTGTATGACTTTCTTTCTTCCATGAAACAACAGATATTTAAAAAAAACTGTTTTTTTTAAAGACATTGTTTGTGTTCCACAGATGTAAGTAAATGAGTAAGCAAATCATACACTCTTAGAAGAAAAGGTTCTATATAGAACCTTAAAAGGTTCGTATTTGGAACCCCTAAACGGTTCTATAATAAGAACCAGGAAAAAGGTTCCATTTGGAACATTTTGGGTTCATTCATTATTATTATTTTTTGTCCTTTCCGGATTAAATATTTCATATTATTGACAAACATCAAGACTCTAAACTGTATTTATGAATGCATGTGAATGATCACAAAATTCAAGATACTGTATGTACACTGTAAAAAAATATTGATGGTTTAACTTAAAGTAAGTAACCTGGTTGCCTTAAAATTTTAAGTTGATTGAACTGGAAAAAGTGAGTTAATACAATGAAGGAGATTCATTTAATCATCAGAAACTTAAAATAATAAGTTATCTGAACTAAATAAATTATTTTAAGTTGATTTGACAAAAGAAAAAATGTTGTGATTACTACACTGTAAAAAAAATATTGTTGATTTAACTTAAAAAAGTTTTAACTTAAAAAACCCTGGTTGCCTTAAAATTTTAAGTTGATTGAACTGAAAAAAATGAGTTAATACAATGAAGGAGATTCATTTAATCATCAGAAACTCAAAATAATAAGTTATCTCAACTAAATAAATTATTATAAAGTTGATTTGACAAAAGAAAATATGTTGTGATAACAAATCTTGAAACTATTTTTTACAGTGTATAGATTTATATAATTTTACAGTAGTTATTATCAAACGAAGAGTGTCATTTCAGTTTTTCTCCCCCAAAAATCAGCATGATTAAAATGTGATATTAGCAGTTTAATAAACAGTATTTTAAATGTTGTAGAATAATGTAATAATAGCACCTTTGTGTCAAAAGGGTTCTTTCTTGTCATTATAGAACCTTTTTTTTTTTAGCATAAAAGGTTCTTTGGAGTTGAGTAAAGAACCCAATGCTTCAAATATAGAACCCCAATTTTTCAAAGAGTGTATGTTTTTGGTTAACTGCCCCTTTAAGTCACGATGAAGCTGTGCAGTCCTCTCCAACATTTTCCATATTTATTGATTTTGATCTGTCAATGTCTTGCTGATGCACTGCAGATAATGCGATTAAAGGTTTATTCGGAGCAAAAGCCTCTTATGTGGCTGCTGTTGTCAAAAACCTGTTCTATCTGCCAAAGGAGCACCAAATGAATGGACGAAAACCTCTGGCATAGACAAAATTCAACAACCAACGGCAAAAGATGGCAGCTTTTGGCCTGATCATAGTCGCTTGTCAGGTTCTGTTCATCGGCGCATCATTTCAGTCTGCTCTTGTCTTGGATATGGCTAAAATTCTGCTTGACAACTATTGCCTCCCAGAGAATCTAGTCGGTATGCAGGAGGCAATCCAACAAGCTATAAGCAGCGGAGAGATCCTCCACATTTCCGATCGGAAAACACTGGCATCGGTCCTGACTGCGGGCGTTCAGGGTGCACTCAATGACCCCAGACTGAGTGTGTCTTACGAGCCTAATTATACTCCGATCACGCCACCTGCACTTCAGTCGCTGCCTACTGAACAGCTGATACGGCTAATCAGGAACACGGTTAAACTGGAGGTGATGGATAACAACGTTGGCTACCTGAGGATTGACCGTATTATAGGTCAGGAGACGGTGTCAAAGCTGGGACGCCTCCTTCACGACAACATCTGGAAGA